GAACCAAGGTGGAGTCCGCGATTGCGTGATGGCATCTTGTGTGCTTTCTTTCTTCAGACATACGTGGAAAGAGATTTGAACTCGAGCGTGACGCTGCGTGGAAATACATTCGAGAAAAATGCAGCTGACATGCCATATCTTCAATCGAATCTCATAGTCATTCAGCCCAGATTCATCGACAAGCCAGGCAGTGGCGGTGCCCTACTCTTGGGGGCTCAAGAACTGTTTCGGAGTACTGCGAAGCACAAGATCCCGATCATCGTCCCAAAAGGGAGGTTGATCGTCAAAGTGCATGACTCCGAGTTCATTGAAAATTATTCCCGTCGGGGAGGTGCAATCGCGTCGCTGCGCGTCACCACTCTGTCCATCACGTCGGTCGACTTCATGCGAAATTTGGCGGACGTTGGAGGTGCGATTTACGTTGAATCAGATGGCACCATTGATCCACAAATGTTCGTGAATCCAGACCATTACTTGGTCGGGACTGATGCCAATTTCGAAGATAATTTTGCAGAGCGGAGCGGAGGGGCTGTGTTCCTCCAAGTGAGTTCTGCGACGGCACCCCTTGCCAGATCCAGCCTGTCTCCAGTCAACATATCCAGCACAGCTGAGGTCTTGCACAGTAGCAGTGCCACGGTCAATAATGAAGACGATGTGTTTTTTGAAGACAGCGCCTTCAGGCGTAACAAGGCAGCCATTTCTGGTGGTGCGGTGCATGCGCAGAGAGGGCGAGTGGGCTTCAGGCGTTGCACGTTTGACCTAAATTCAGTTACACAGCCCTCCAAAGGCGACGGGGGAGCAATGTGTCTTGTGGATCAATCAGCAATCCATGCCAGAGAAACCAACATGACAGGGAATCGCGCTGGAAGAGGAGGCAGCGTGTATGCCCAAGAGTCGACTGTTGACATCGTGGGTTCAGATATTCGGAACAACGCAGCAGACGAAGGAGGGGGAGTTTACATCACCGTTGCATCAATATCCGATTATTATCTGCGCGTTTTTGGTCGCATCGAGAGAGCCAGATTTGAAAACAATTCCGCAAAGATTGGAGGTATGTGGGGCTAAAATGCGACACTGCGAGATGCGCCAACGTGCCAGAGAAACACAGGTTTAGATATTGTCAACCGCAAACTCGTATTGATGCACGTATTTTGCAGGAAACATTGTGCTCTTGGCTGGAATGACCCAAGCGCAGTTGTTCAATGCGCCCACGCAAATGGCAGTTTTTGCTGCAAGCAGTGTTATGACATATTTGCAAACTGGAATTTGAGCACTTTAGTTTTGGCATTTACTGCAGCTGCAGTACTAGTGCATTAAAGGGGGAGGGCAATATCAGCACATGTTTGTTGCTAACGTGTGTTCATGTGGACGGAAGCAATCTTTAGCAGACAGAACATGTCATGTGGAGTTAGGGCAATCGATAGAATTGCAAAATCACGCAATGACTGTGCAGTGATCTCAATTGTACATGGCTGTCAGCATCTGTGCCATGTTACTACAAGCACGCCGCATTATTCAAGTGCCATTGTGTCTGCTCAGGCATTTCACCAGTTCGGCTGTGCTCCTTTAGGTGGGCTGTTCATGACAAAGACGCCTGGTGAGCCGAATTGCTTCAATTCGGATACGACTTTCATGGCAGTTACTTGGAGCACCTTCGCAAACAACACCGCAGATCTGGCTGGCGGCGCCATTTTCACCAATGCTCCCGGAGCCCTTGGCCTGTGCTGCGACTGTGTCCTCCAAGTGGACGAACATCTAGGGACCAACAGTGAGGGACTGTACCCCGGGAGATACCCTGCGGAGGGGGTGATTGGTGTGTCAAATGCGTCATTGGGGCATTGCGGTATTCTGGACCATTCTGACTTGTGCAATCAGGCCTTGTCTGGGAACAACAATTCCGAAATTGGGTCCTATGCCGTGGCGACAACAGCACAATCTGCCAGGGTATATGACTACGATTCAGAGAAAATGCGAAGAATTGACGATCAGACGTTTCGCGTTGAAAACTACAGCAGCGGCAGCAATTTTCAGCCTTTTATGGTGCAATTGACGGATGCATTCGGCCATCCTGCTACTGGTCATCCTTCTGCGTTCCTCAGAATAATTTCGGACTCACCAGATGCCATCGTGGCCGGGCAGCAGATCACAGAGACTAACGTCCGGGCGAACGTTTCCGAACTTCGGCTGCTGTCCAGTATCAGCAGGCACAACCTGACGCTGTATTTTGAGCCTGACATTGGATACAACATCACCATGGAGGTGGATGTTCGGCCATGCCTTCCAGGAGAAATCACACAGGATGTGGTCGGCGGCAATGCCAAGCAGTGCCAAAGCTGTCCCGACAGACTGTACAGCTTCGACCCCACACAACAGGCGTGTCATCCGTGCCCCCTCAATGCGGAATGCAGGCCATCGACCGTCACCCCCAAGGCTGGGTTCTGGCACGCGTCTTCCCAGTCGACCACAATCCGCAAGTGCATATTGGAGGATGCATGCGTTTTCGAGGACAGAACCGAAGTGCTGGAGACTCTGGCGCAGGAAGCCCATGCCAATGGGACGATCCTGAGCGCCACAGGCGACGCGCTCTACGAACAATGTTCTCCGGTGGGTGCCACCTTCAATGCAGGGGCTCTCTTGTACTTGACAGTTACAGCCAAAAGGACGTCGGTGGGTGCAGCTTCCAACGAATAATATCAAGTGGTTTGAATCTCAATTCGTTTGGTCGCAGCAGGGCATTGGGAGAAGTCTCTTCATTTGCTCTCGTCCTTTTTCGAATTTTACCTTTCATTTCTTATGTGATACTGACAGTACTGCGGACTCTGGCGGGGTGACAGGAGAAGTTCTATAAACACCTGCTGTTGGAAGAGAACAACCCGTAATTTCAGTGAACAATAAAGAGAAGACTTTCGTTGTTCCCTGATTAATGAAACAAGTGGGGGCCCCCGTTGGGACGTCGACCACTCTCATCACACAGGCGCTAGATAATGAATAGCCCTAAAATGCGACATTGAACAACTGCTTCTTTGCCGCTTCCAGGGATACTCTGGAATCCTATGCGGTGCGTGTAGGGATACGCACGGCAGGGTGAAGTCCGGTGAGTGCTGGATCTGTGGAAGCGCCGCCCGGGATCTCACCGTAATTGTTCTGATTGCCTTATGGTGGGTCTTCATCAGCAACCTGATGGTGAACAGCGCACTGTCGAGAAACGACATGAAGGATGCAACGATTGGCTGCGGTGTTGCAACCATCGGTCGTAGCGATTTGTGTTCGACAGGCACAAATAATGGTCTTCCCAGCATGCAGGCAAAGGATTTAGGCCAGGGAGCTGGCAGTGCGGGACAGAGGAGCAAAAGCTGTAGCTCGGATGTCCTGAAGGTGAGGACCTTTCCGAGATGGAGATATCCAAGAATGCTTCTCACCCCCGTGGTGTTTGCGCTTTTGTCCGAGCGAGTAAATGCCAGTGATCTATTGCCCGAATGGAGGGATACCAGGTTGGATACTGATTGGATCTCCACCTCCTCCATGGAATCGTTTCCGTGGCCCAAGGGACGAATGCTTTTGTCCTCTGTGAACAACAGTTCATAAATCTTAATGCAGTAAAGGAAATGCCAAACAGCTCTGTGTCCTTAGTAGAAGCGACTGCAGCAGTACGACTGCGCTTTTTGCATTTTTGAGCGACCTTAAGCACTTCTCAAAGCTGTCAATCCAGTGCGCACGCGGAAGTCTTCAAACTGGTAAAGTATTTCAAACCAGGAAGGAATGATTTTCTGAGCTGATTTCTCCAAATCTGGTCCACCTTGGTGGCTGGAGTCTGAACCGGCTGATATGAAGACAGGACAAAATGTTCAATGCACACGAAATATGCATTGCAAATTAACTTCTCAACAGAAATGGATTCTTTCGATGCTTTGATTAGATGCGGAACCAAGAGAGGAAGGTGCATCGAGCCTACTGATCGAACCAACAAGAAAAGCATTCTTGTTGACTTGTATTTCTCCTGTCCCAAATTAAATGTGCACATTTAGACTCTTTCAAATACAGTGCACTCTGTTTAATAGACAATGTACGTTACAAGGGCGGTCTCGAAATTACAAAAGAAGTCCAGAATCGAAAAGGTTGGGTCCTATAAACCCTAGCCATCAATTTTCTAGAAGAAAAAGTGGTCCCCGTCCCCTATGAGCGTTGGGCGGAAATCAAAGTTTGGTCACTTGTGAGCGAAAACTTAGAGGTTTGTTAGGCAGAGGTTCATTGATATAAAGTGCTGCCAAATGTAAAATACATATCAGATTGACCTGATTCTTCGTCACTTACTCCAAACTCACAAGCACAGTTTGAATAACAATTTATAGGCAAATATTTATGTGTAGGATAAATACACCAAAATAGCAGAGGACATTTGATATGGGAAGAAAGAAGTGCCAATTTTCTCATGCAGAGAATCAACGGACAGTGTTATCCAAGGCGACAATAGCAATGCTACAACTGTGTCCGTGATGGTTCTATATCTGCAAAAGCAACTGCTTTTACTCTGCAACTTTTACTCAGAAAGAATTCAATTTTGCAATATCACATGTAAAACTAAGCTGTTTGTGTGTCCGACAGATCTTTATTAACTACCTTCAGACCTTGGGACTGGCAGCGGCTATGCAAACAAGCTGGACAGATGAGGTGTACAGGATGCTAGGGATTGCAGGTGTGCACAAACGGGATGCACAGATGGACCACACCCTCATTATGTTGCGCTCCACAGCAATGCCTGCGCTCTCTTCAACAACGTGAATGGGTATCATGTGTGTGCTTTTAGTGCTTTTCAGAAGTACATTTTGGTCAAAGCATGGCATCTTTGCCCAGACTTCCATCCAAGTTTGGTGATTTGAATGATGAGAAAACAAACAGAAGCACTGATCAGAAACGAAGGGTGCTATTCGAATAGAAATGATACGACACAATCTACATCATCAATATTGTGCCATTTGCAGGCCTGGCTTCCTCCTCGGGAGGCAACCTCTTTTCTTTGGAGTGCGCCTTTTCGAACGGCACGTCGGTTCGGCGCTCTGTTGCCAAGGCGGCAGTCAGCCTAGCCTTCCCCTTCGTGGTCATGGCGCTGTTTTTCGTCAAGTGGACATTCTCATGGCTTAAGAATCGCACCGCCATGCCGAAGGACTACTTGGCCTGCCACCTCAGCATTTCGACACTATCCGTTCTGTACATCTTCTATGTGGACATAACCGACAACGCAGCAAGGTTGGTACCATTGCTGGCAAAGATACCGCGTTTCTCGCATCCTGACGCGTCCTGAAGCCTTTTCGATGGCTGGAAATGGTGTTTGGGCGGTATGCTTCATGTTAGATTGGTGAGAATCGTGTACGGTCAGATCGATTTTGGTGACTTCCCTTTTGTCACGAAGTCGAGTATGTCCCGGCAGTATCGCCGTCGTGCATCGATGGAGACTTGTTGTGATCCCACTGCGGGAGCTCTGCCTCACAGGGCCATGGCGCTCCTCACGCTGATGAGGGATGCATACTTTCAACTGCTGATCATTATACAAAGCCCCAATAGTGTGACATCATGTTGAGTGGCCGATAATCATATATGAATCATGAGCGCCAAAATGCCCTCCAAGTCCAGCTCTAGCACGCTAGTGGACATTTTTATCAGTGCCAAGTGGCGCTTGCTTGCATAATTGATCATATATGATTGGTTCAGAGGTTAACATTATTTTCAGGGTGTTCAACTGCACGCCCGTGGATGTTGGCTACGAAGGACAATCATCTGGTGAGGGGAGCCCCGCGGAGAAGTACTGGGTCGAGGATACGGGCGTCACGTGTTGGACAGGGCACCACCTGGTGCTGGCCACAGCCGCGGCAGCGCCGCTGCTGCTGCTCGTATGCCTGGGATTCCCCCTCTGGATTCTGTATATCGCGAGGTCATCGGGGTCGACACTGACAGACAGGTATGCCAGTGGTTGATTGCCGTTTCATTGAGCGCTTTGCGCAAATGACAAAATGCGCTGCCATCGCACCTGCCAGTCGACGCCTGGCTCCGGATATCGACGTCACTTGCCTTTCCCGACGATTTTTTCCGGTTCCCAGGTCAGTGGCCAAGACGCACGGATTCCTGTACTGGTCGTACAACGACAGGAGGAAGTTCTGGGAGGCCTTTATCCTGGCCCGGAAAGGCATTCTGGCTGGCGTGTCCGTTTTCTCTTTCTCCCTCGGACCCGACGCCCAGGGCTTTCTCTCCCTGGCCATTCTCTTCAGCGCAGGAGTCGGCCACGCGTTGGGCTGGCCATTCGAAACCCACAACTCCCCACTCAACTTCATGGAGATGCTTTCCATTGTATCTTCCTTTTGGGTGTTCTTCGTGGGCGGTCTGTTCAGCAATCCGAGCGTGGCGAAGTCGGAGACAGTCAAGGAGGCTCTTGCCGTCCTCCTGATTGTGCAGGTGGTGTCGGTGTTCCTGTACATCTTCGTGCGCTTGATGATTGAAGGCTTGAGGGAAGTCGTGGCGGGGGAGGGGAAGGGCTGGCTGTCTAGGAAGATGCGCTCCGTGGCCGAGGTTGTTTTGAGAGCGCTCCTGAAAGTTAGCGCGGCGTTTCTTAGGCTCTCCAAAAGGATAGGCACGATTTTTGTCGTTTGCCCAACGATAGAACCGAACTCGATTCAGAATCGCCGATAGCTGGTTAGACTCTTGTCTCTGACGGATGGACTGCATGGCTTTGTGGCGCCAATTTTCTCAGACTTCCTCTTCGCCAATCATCTGTATGTCGTCGCATGTTCAATGCAGAAGGAGTCGAACAACGACAATGGGCGCGAAAAAAGAACGGCGTTCACTGCTCTGGGGCACACTGCTAACATTCATCACGCCCGAATACCCATAGAAAATGAAACACGGGATGTCTCGAAACGCTGCCGAGCCAAAAGGCAAGAAACAGATGCAAGCAGGCACTCGTTGAACTGTTCTGAAGTGGAGCCAAACCTGATATACTTGCAGCTCTTTTGGCGCCATTCTTCGCAAATTGCTGGGGTCGCCAGTCAGCAAGATATGCCACCGCATCTTGAGAATTAGTTATCGATGCGACAGCTTGATGGGACACTTGATGGCAAATTCCGGCATTAATTAAGTACAACGATAGATTCTCCTGTGCTGTGCATCTCGCTGTTTAGGGGATTGGATGCATTTCCGAAGGATGCCGTCTCCTTTCGCTTCAGAGTAACCAGGATTTCCACCTGAAATGATTCCAACCAACAGCAATAGCACAACGTTATCCGCGAGGTGATACGAAGAGCCTCAATCGAACGAAAGTGTCAGAAATTTATGGCCGGTCGGTTCAAGTAGAACCCTTACAGTACAGAACACGTAAAGTTATTGCATTGGATGCGTCTCGCTTCAAGGCGTCGAGGGGCTTTCACAGACTCACACTCACACTTCTCCACGGATTGCTGCCTTTCCATTGCGTTCATTGGGCTGGTTCAGGATGCCTACGAAACACCGCTAATGTCACCACCGTTACCCAATGCCACATGCAGCCAAACCTACTCAAGCTCTCCTGCAGGGTAGCCAATGCACACTCCCTATCTCAGCTTCCCGCTCGGGTGGCGAAATTGTTCCTCTATTCTGCGCTTGGGCAGCGAAAGCATTCAGGTTTGCCGTTGCGCACATGCATGCGGCCTTCATTGGCAACGGCTGGAGTGGCACCCAACAAGAACAAGAAGACAATTCATTTGCTTTTCACGGGCCACTCGGCCGCATAATGCGGGTGGTGGTCTTCATCTGCATGCCATGCGCGCTGTTATGGGTGGACGTGGTAAGTGCCATACGTAGGTGGTACGTAGCAACAAATGTCATCTGTGACCAAAACCTTCCCAGCACACACAGTTTTCTGCTAGTACGTTGTGCTAGCTCGTATCTGTTGAAGACAACCCGAGCCATGGACCTTGTTCGGCTTGCCGGCGATCGCATATGCACGTATTAGTAATGTATTACCGTACTGCGTCGCTTTCAGGCTGTTCGTTTGACGCTAGGTTTTGATAGTGTGGATGGTGTTCCAGTCCTGGTTTAGGTCATAATGCTCCTTGAGTCTATTTTGCCATCGGTTTTAACCATTTTATACACTGAGCATGCGCAGGAGTGGGCAAGAGATGCCGATGGGAGCTCGCTGCCAGGGTGGCGCTCGCTGCCAGCGCTCTGGCTGCAACTGTGGGCTCCTCAACAGAAGAGACCCTGAGTCGCACCATTCTGACAGGGGGAGCCGTCTGCATTCGTTGATCTGACAGCGATGTCCTGACGCCCCTTTGCTGTGCAATTTTCTGTCTGCTTGCCAACAGTTATCAGGCGCTTACTATTTTGGTATGCACAGGTTCTGCCACACATATATCTAGAAGAACCAGACTGTAACAAGCGTGCCTATGAGTAGTGCTCGGGTCGTCAATTAATGGGGCTCATCCGAAAGTTAGCAAATTAATGATATAACTCAGCTGGCGACTCGTGAGGTTCAGATATGCTGCAGAGGGAATGTCGACAGCCTCAGCACCTCAGCCTCACTGATCATCATCGAGTTTGGCGCTCAATGAGGTGGGAAACCCTTCCTCACTGCCCGCTTGGCGGTCTGCCATGGACCGTTGCCAGACGGAGCCAGGAGGGGTGCGCGAAGGCGCCACGTGGTCGTTTGATGGGAATATGCCCCGTGGGGCACTACGCGGTGGCTGATTGCGGGCAGTGAGGCGTACGAGTTAAGTTGCAGTGAAGCTACGGGTGTGGCAGAAAGATTACGGTTGTAAAAGAGTATCTCTTAGGAATTGGGAATATTTGCCAGAGCTTGGAGGGCTGCGAGTACTGGGGGCGTGGCGGAATCTACAGGGAACTCTGTATTGTTGCAATCGGCATGGCAGCTGTAAGAACGGTTGCGCTGCGCTTGCGTGTGCCTCTCGCGGCGGTGCGGGCACTCAGCATTCCTGCTTGGCTTCCCTGGCCGTGTGCGCAACGTTCGCCACATCCTGAGCGCAATAGCGCTCGACTTTTCGAAGGTCGCAGCCAGCCTGTGCCTTTTCTTTGCTGTTCAAAACCATCGATGTCAATGCGGTCGTGCTGCAGGCCAAAAGTGACCAACATTCGTCGCTGCACAGCCTCGTCCGAGGGAAAGAAGCATTTTTCGTGTACTGCATAACTACGCTGTGTACAAGGCTGCACCGACCCGTGGAGTTGAACAATGCTCTGACCTCACTGAACTTGGGGAGTGGATGCTAACGGTTGTGACCCCCTGGGGGGCAGTTGTGAGAGGTTGCATGCTTGACGTTCAGTTGAATGTTTGCCGTTCATCTGAAGCTTACCTTGCTTACCTGCTATTTGGGTCGTTGACAACCTTGCGGCAAGCAGTTCCTCATGTAAAGCCAGTTCGCGCTAGGACCAAGCTTGTCCGTTGAGTGCACCCTCAACTGACGTGGTTCTGAGGCTGTCAACGTGGCTCAGCTGCTCGTTGAGGGGTGATTAGACTGCGATATCTCCGGAGATGACGGCCAGAATGGACCGCCGTCCTTAACAGTAGCACATTGTTGTGGTGCCTGCAATTGAGTTCAATGGAATTTCCTTTCCGTGGGGGGAAACTGCTCCGCTGCAGGTAGGCTTGTGCAGCCTGTCACCTCGTTCTAGTGCGAAGCATAGAATGAGCCTACAGGGAGTTTGCACGAAATTTCTGGTTCTCAAGGGGGATCTTTCTCTTTGAAGCTTCTCAGAAAACACATGGCTGCTACGGCCTGGTAACCTGCTTGTTTTCTGATGCCTGACCCGGGGAGGAGGGGGATGAACGGGCTCAAGCGGTGAACACTGTGAAACCAGTTACCAGTGAAGTGCTTTGGTGTGCATGGCTGCATGTACATACAAACAGAGCACGTCATGTACGTTGACCTAAAATTGCTGCTTCATCTTAGTGATTCTACGATCTGGCGCCCGCTGAAACACGTGTAATGCCTGGCTCAGATAGTCGCTGCAACTTTTTTAGGCCGCAGTGCATTTGTACGGCACGCGTAAGTTGCTTCAACCAAAGTAAGCGGCAACATAGAAAAGAACGTCGCTCGTTGAAAAGAGCCGGTGATGTTGAACGATTTCATATTCTCCCATCTCATTCGCAGTAAGCAGTCGGCACTAGCTTCAAATTCTTTCCATATTGTGCGGCGACATCGCTCATGACAATGAATTATGCATTCCAACTGCAGGCCTGGAAATGAAAAGAAGTTGCACTGCTTCTCCCACCTGCAGCCTCTGCTTTCCTCATGCCCCTGGCGTGGAGCTTGGTACAAGATGGAGCTGGCGAGAAGTCCGCTTCAGCGTGTATACGCCCACATATATGGGCGCATCATTCCGCCAAAATCTTGTGTGTCTTAACTGCTGTGGTGGCTACAAAATTAACGTGTCATAGATTTTGTGTCTGTATCCATTCAAATCTACATTTTGCTGGAATCGCTCATTGACACGCGAGCATGTGCTGCAAGGGCACTTATGTCCGCTGTATCAAAGGCATTCCAATTCGATTTAGGCCATTGTTGTCAACAGTGGATGCCCCGGTATGTCTGTGGTGCGGTGTGGTGCGCATGAATGTGAAGAATCTTTGACGCACATGCCGTATATTTTTGCTCTGTCCGATCGTCTGAGTCGGCAATTCGAACACTGCGCAACTTCGATTTTATGCTCTAACAGGTCATTCTGGTCAGCGCGCTGAGATAAATGCCGCACTGATCTGCTGCCCAGATACCCGTCGCTCGAGGATAACGGCCCACGGTACCACCATCGTGGCAGAAGTCCACATGAAGGCAGTTGAATTGTGTGCCCAGTCGTTTGTTGGGGTCGCCGAGAGCAACTGTGGGACTATTTTTGCAGCAGCCAGTGCACAGCTATCGGCTTTGGATGCCCACACTGAGCTACTGATGCTTTGTGTTCCCGAGGTCTATAACTTGGCATTTGAATGCCCCACAGCGAGAACTATCGTTGACTCAAGGTGCGGCAGGAATCAGGGTTATCATGTATTTGGTGTTTGAATGAACAACTGGGTAATTTCGGAAACTTTGTCTCATATTGAGCGCCAAGGAATTGGGGGAGGGGGGATTTTAGAAGATGGCAAAATGCATCGCCATTTACATTTATGCGCAAGGGCCAGGCACTTCCTGAAAATTTATAACCTGGCAGCTGAATCCCTTTCGTTCTGGCGCATTACCGGGCGTGATTGCTGACACGTGTTAACAGTTCTAAATACTGGGCGGCTTTCCAGCGCATATGTTGAAACATCGACTACTGAACGTGCACGTGAATAAGGCAGAATGCTTCTGTGCACATGATGTGTTACTACCCGATTTGGGAATTACAGAGCGTTGGCTGCAAATTTTTATAGATACTTCCTCTGTCCCAAATTAAATGCAACAATTTGTTGTGAGGTGTTGGGAGGCTTAATTTGTATCGCGCACTCGTTTGTTTTTCTTGAAAACGCAACTTCAGCAACTAATATACGTGTCATAGTTGCTACCAAAACATAAAAGGGAAAGATTAAGTGCACCGCATTTGGCAATGCATTGAACATGCACTACTCCACCCCAGAATTGGTCCCTCCCAGTGCACCCCCCGCCCGCCTAAAAATACGTTCCCGGGTCCGAGATGACCCACCACACAAGTGCAGGCCCTCTTTCTGGACT